ATACAGATACAGATACAGATACAGATACAGATACAGATATTATATATATATAATATATATATAATATATACATAATATATATATATATATATATATATATATATATATATATATATATATATATATATATATATATATATAATTCTCTTCTGGGAGCCGCTAGAAAACAAGCTGTAAACGCGCTCCCTACCTCCCCACCCCTACATGGTCTTAGTGAGCTGTGTTCACTCTAAATGTTTACAAGCAGAGCCAACGATTTTAAACGTAGGGGGGAGGGGGAAGGAAGGGGGGGGGGTTATGGTCCTTAACGAGCTACTTATAGTGTTTTAAAGAAATATTTTCAGTGCCAGCGTTGGTACTGTCGAATTCACAAATTATGAATTTCTGAAAAGTAGAAAAAACAACTAAATAGCGGCGTATGTTATGCCGCGGGCCGACTCGTATATATATATAATTATCTTCTGGGAGCCGTTAGAAAACAAGCTGCAAGCGCCTCCTTGCAGTCCCCTCTTTTTCTCTCTATCACTATCAATACCACCCCCACCCCACCCCCACATTGTCTGGTGAGCTGTGGTCACGCTGTTTACATTTTACAATCATAGAGACGGGTTTGGTGACGGCTATTAGGGGCAGATAATTTAGTTTGAAACGATTTTAAACTTAGAGGAGGTAACTAAGAGGAGGCTGCTTTCACGTGGGGGGAGGGGGGGGGTTTAGTGTTTTTAAGCAAATATTTTCAGTGGCAGCATTGGTACTGTCGAATTCACAAATTATAAATTACTGAAAAGTAGAAAAAAAACAACTAAATAGCGGCGTATGATACGCAGCGGGTCGGCTCGTATATATATATATATATATATATATATATATATATATATATATATATATATATATATATATATATATATAATAAAACAATACTCCACGCTCTGGACTACTCTTGAATATAATATTATTCTCCAGCCATCAAATCAAGCAAAGCACAAAATGCCACGGTCGAACAATACTGCCGCCTGATCTGTATCTATATAAGCAATAACACTGAGCAACTTATGGATTTTGTCTTCGATGTCTACGACTTCAACCAGGATGGAGTGATCAGCTACAATGAGCTTTATTACTACCTGAAGGTGGGATTAAGATTAATTTATTACTACCTGAAGGTGGGATTAAGATTGATTTATTACTACCTGAAGGTGGTATTAAGATTAATTTATTACTAGCTGAAGGTGGGATTAAGATTAATTTATTACTACCTGAAGGTGGGATTAAGATTAATTTATTACTACCTGAAGGTGGGATTAAGATTAATTTATTACTACCTGAAGGTGGGATTAAGATTAATTTATTACTAGCTGAAGGTGGGATTAAGATTAATTTATTACTAGCTGAAGGTGGGATTAAGATTAATTTATTACTAGCTGAAGGTGGGATTAAGATTAATTTATTACTAGCTGAAGGTGGGATTAAGATTAATTTATTACTAGCTGAAGGTGGGATTAAGATTAATTTATTACTAGCTGAAGGTGGGATTAAGATTAATTTATTACTACCTGAAGGTGGGATTAAGATTAATTTATTACTACCTGAAGGTGGGATTAAGATTAATTTATTACTACCTGAAGGTGGGATTAAGATTAATTTATTACTAGCTGAAGGTGGGATTAAGATTAATTTATTACTACCTTTAGGTGGGATTAGGATTAATTTATTACTACCTGAAGGTGGGATTAAGATTAATTTATTACTACCTGAAGGTGGGATTAAGATTAATTTATTACTATCTGAAGGTGGGATTAAGATTAATTTATTACTATATGAAGGTGGGTTTAAGATTAATTTATTACCATCTGAAGGTGGGATTAAGATTAATTTATTACTACCTGAAGGTGGGATTAAGATTAATTTATTACTATCTGAAGGTGGGATTAAGATTAATTTATTACTATCTGAAGGTAGGATTAAGATTAATTAATACCACCTAGGGGTAGGATTAAGGTTAATTTTTTACTACCGGAAGGTGGGATTATGATTCATTTATTACTACTTGAAGGTGGGATTAAGATTAATTTATAAGATTAATTTATTACAATCTGAAGGTGGGATTAAGATTAATTTATTACTATCTGAAGGTGGGATTAAGATTAATTAATACTACCTAAAGGTAAGGTTAATTTATTACTACCTGAAGGTGGGATTATGGTTAATTTATTACTACTTGAAGGTGGGATTAAGATTTATACGTTTGGGGGAGGTCTTGGGGCATGTTACTTTGGTCGCTTATGAGATCTTTAAAATATTTTTACCCACAAAATCTTCTATGATAAAAAGCAGATTAGTTTTTTTTCTTATTTCCAGTGCATTTAAAAGCTTCTTGCTATAAAGGTTTTTTTATTTTTTTATAGGTTTTTATAAAAAGCTTTTCTATTTTTTTGTGGGTTTGTGGCGAATCTTGTAACTCAATTTTGACACTCTTCTATGCGATTTCGTCGCAGTCTATGTAGGGTCAAATTCATTTCGAACGAACGACTAAAAAGTGGAAAATAAGCAAATTTAAAAACCTTTACAATAACAAGATAACAATATTCAAATGAACTGAACCAAATTGCTTTCTTTAAAAAAATGTGACCGTTTAAACAGTTGATAGATCTCATGAGCGACCAAAGCTTTTATTATCAAAAGCAAGGATTATTTCTTCTTTTTTAAATTTTCAGTTATTTCAAAAGCTTACCCTACCTATATTTCTTTTATTTCTCACGTGCCTGTTGTTGTGTTGGTCTGAACAACCTGAGCAGCCATGTGTGCTGTAGCTTACCCTACCTATATTTCTTTTATTTCTCACGTGCCTGTTGTTGTGTTGGTCTGAACAACCTGAGCAGCCATGTGTGCTTTAGCTTACCCTACCTATATTTCTTTTATTTCTCACGTGCCTGTTGTTGTGTTGGTCTGAACAACCTGAGCAGCCATGTGTGCTGTAGCTTACCCTACCTATATTTCTTTTATTTCTCACGTGCCTGTTGTTGTGTTGGTCTGAACAACCTGAGCAGCCATGTTTGCTGTAGCTTACCCTACCTATATTTCTTTTATTTCTCACGTGCCTGTTGTTGTGTTGGTCTGAACAACCTGAGCAGCCATGTGTGCTTTAGCTTACCCTACCTATATTTCTTTTATTTCTCACGTGCCTGTTGTTGTGTTGGTCTGAACAACCTGAGCAGCCATGTGTGCTTTAGCTTACCCTACCTATATTTCTTTTATTTCTCACGTGCCTGTTGCTGTGTTGGTCTGAACAACCTGAGCAGCCATGTGTGCTTTAGCTTACCCTACCTATATTTCTTTTATTTCTCACGTGCCTGTTGCTGTGTTGGTCTGAACAACCTGAGCAGCCATGTGTGCTTTAGCTTACCCTACCTATATTTCTTTTATTTCTCACGTGCCTGTTGTTGTGTTGGTCTGAACAACCTGAGCAGCCATGTGTGCTGTAGCTTACACTACCTATATTTCTTTTATTTCTCACGTGCCTGTTGTTGTGTTGGTCTGAACAACCTGAGCAGCCATGTGTGCTTTAGCTTACCCTACCTATATTTCTTTTATTTCTCACGTGCCTGTTGTTGTGTTGGTCTGAACAACCTGAGCAGCCATGTGTGCTGTCCTTTGACGATGAGATGGATATAAGCGAGGCCGTCAAGGAGTTGATCGAACACGTGGTCAAGATCTCGGACACTGACGAGAACGGCCACATTGACAGGCCAGAGTTTAAGTGAGTGACAGCTTCTTGTATCTTCTGGTGCTAATTAGGCAACATTGTGCAGTTTTAGATCAAATAGGCAACAGTGTGCAGTTTTAGATCAAATAAGAAATATTGTTTAGTTTAAGAGGAAAGAGGCAACATTGTTTAGTTTTAGATGAAATATGAAATATTGTTTAGTTTCAGAAAAAACACAATGCTTAGTTTTTGACTAAATATACTGTCACACACCACTGTATATGTTGACTATTCCACTTGAAACCACTGTATATGTCGACTATTCCACTTGACACCACTGTATATGTCGACTATTCCACGTCACACACCACTGTATATGTCGACTATTCCACGTCACACACCACTGTATATGTCGACTATTCCACGTGACACTACTGTATATGTCGACTATTCCACGTCACACACCACTGTATATGTCGACTATTCCACGTCACACACCACTGTATATGTCGACTATTCCACTTGACACCACTGTATATGTCGACTATTCCACGTCACACACCACTGTATATGTCGACTATTCCACGTGACACTACTGTATATGTCGACTATTCCACGTCACACACCACTGTATATGTCGACTATTCCACTTGACACTACTGTATATGTCGACTATTCCACGTCTCACACCACTGTATATGTCGACTATTCCACGTCACACACCACTGTATATGTTGACTATTCCACGTCACACACCACTGTATATGTGACTATTCCACGTCACACACCACTGTATATGTCGACTATTCCACGTCACACACCACTGTATATGTCGACTATTCCACGTCACACACCACTGTATATGTCGACTAGTCCACGTCACACACCACTGTATATGTCGACTATTCCACTTGACACCACTGTATATGTCGACTATTCCACTTGACACCACTATATATGTCGACTATTCCACGTCACACACCACTGTATATGTCGACTATTCCACGTCACACACCACTGTATATGTCGACTATTCCACGTCACACACCACTGTATATGTCGACTATTCCACGTCACACACCACTGTATATGTCGACTATTCCACTTGACACCACTGTATATGTCGACTATTCCACTTGACACCACTGTATATGTCGACTATTCCACTTGACACCACTATATATGTCGACTCTTCCACTTGACACCACTGTATATGTCGACTATTCCACGTCACACCACTGTATATGTCGACTATTCCACGTCACACACCACTGTATATGTCGACTATTCCACTTGACACCACTGTATATGTCGACTATTCCACGTCACACACCACTGTATATGTCGACTATTCCACATCACACCTCTGTATATGTCGACTATTCCACGTCACACAGCACTGTATATGTCGACTATTCCACATCACACCTCTGTATACGTCGACTATTCCACGTCACACACCACTGTATATGTCGACTATTCCACGTCACACACCACTGTATATGTCGACTATTCCACGTCACACCCCTGTATATGTATGTTTCAGAGCTCTGGTAAAAAAGAACGGAGTCTACATACAGTTGTTAGGTCCTTGCATACCATCCGGTCACCAGTTCGAAAAGTGTGTATTTCAAATGTATAGCAATAATTAAACTTGTTTATAATAATGTTTTTTAATTAACACCTAAAAATAACTTATTATAATACAAAAATTTAAGTTAACAGCCATTTTTTTAAAATATTTTTTTTATAATCAAGTCGTTAAAAGAAACCAAAACTGATGTTTTGCCCTAATCATTTGTACATGATGAGTTTTGCCCTAATCTTGTTTTAAAGGATGAGTTTTGCCCTAATCAAATTTTAAAGCATGAGTTTTGCCCTAATCTTGTTTTAAAGCATGAGTTTTGCCCTAATCAAATTTTAAAGCATGAGTTTTGCCCTAATCTTGTTTTAAAGCATGAGTTTTGCCCTAATCAAATTTTAAAGCATGAGTTTTGCCCTAATCTTGTTTTAAAGGATGTGTTTTGCCCTAATCATGTTTTAAAGCATGTGTTTTGCCCTAATCATGTTTTAAAGAATGAAGTTTGCCCTAATCATGTTTTAAAGCATGTGTTTTGCCCTAATCATGTTTTAAAGCATGTGTTTTGCCCTAATCATGTTTTAAAGAATGAAGTTTGCCCTAATCATGTTTTAAAGCATGCGGTTTGCCCTAATCGTGTTTTAAAGCATGTGTTTTGCCCTAATCATGTTTTAAAGCATGTGTTTTGCCCTAATCATGTTTTAAAGAATGAGGTTTGCCCTAATCATGTTTTAAAGCATGTGTTTTGCCCTAATCATGTTTTAAAGCATGAGGTTTGCCCTAATCATGTTTTAAAGCATGAGTTTTGCGCTTTCAGGTTCCGCCATGAAATGATGACGTTGTGTGCGTGTGATGTGCGAAAAATGTTTGCAAACGAGCGGTTCTCCTCGCTGAACTCTGTCAAGTATCACGCGGCCTCTTCCTTGTACCCGGTGGTTCTAGAACTTCCATAAACACCGTCATTCAACACTTGCACTACCCAGACTCTAAGCTCTAAACTACACTTCAACCTGATTCCAAACTAAGCTCCAATCTGATTCCAACCTACGCTCCACCCATATTCTAACCTACACTCCGCCCATATTCCAACCTACACTCCGACCAGATTCCAACCTACACTCCACCCAGATTCCAACCTACACTCCACCCAGATTCCAACCTACACTCCACCCAGATTCCAACCTACACTCCGACCAGATTCCAACCTACACTCCACCCAGATTCCAACCTACACTCCGTTCAGATTCCAACCTACACTCCACCCAAATTCCAACCTACACCACCCAGATTCCAACCTACACTCCACCCAGATTCCAACCTACACTCCGTTCAGATTCCAACCTACACTCCGCGCAGATTCTAACCTACACTCCACCCAGATTCCAACCTACACTCCGCCCAGATTCCAACCTACACTCCACCCAGATTCCAACCTACACTCCGCCCATATTCCAACCTACACTCCACCCAGATTCACTACAACAAGGTTCCAGCCAAATTACCTACTTTTCTGCCATATCTATTGAAGTCTTCTGCTAGCCCCTTCTTATGAATGTAGCTGCCACACAACGGCACCTACCATATCAACTGTTAACTTCTGTATTTGAAAATCTGTCAAATCTACTACACCTACGATAGTCAATATACAACAAATCGAATTTCGCAAGTCTACAAAACTTTCTGGTCGACTTAGTGATCTTAGCTTGAACATGATGGAAAAACTACATGGACATTTTTTTTTTCTACAGCATAGCGTACACCATCTTTTACTACCCGGCCACGTCTACATACACACGATGTAACGGTTTAGCTCTTACCACCAACTGTAGAGATACACACATATACAGAGCTTATACATCAAAAGATACACACATATATAGCGCATATAAATAAAAAAAAATTGTCAATAATCTAGGCGTTAGTACACAAAATTTATCGTGAACATGTAATTTGGTATCGAATCCAGGTAATATGAATCAACCATCGACTCTAACATCGTTTAGGTATCGAACTTGTATAACCTGGATTTTAGTCAGGACAACATGAATAAGAGCTTGGATTCTGGCACACTACATCACAAGTATATTCCATCGGATGGAAAACATCATGTCTTTGCTAATTCTCCTGACACGTAGTCAAGGTCGAGAACTTGCTACCATGTTGTTCAATCATAATAAAATGTTTCAACATCTACAATCTTTGTAACAAATGTGGACTAAATCATGGACTAATATATATATATATATATATATATATATATATATATATATATATATATATATATATATATATATATATATATATATATATATATATATATATATATATATATATATATATATAATATATATATATATATATATATAATATATATATATATATATATATATATATATATATATATATATATATATATATATATATAAGTGAGAGTAAAAGACTGAATAAGTTGGAGTTCTTTAGTCGTTTACTAAGTTGCATCAGGCGTTTTCGCCGGCGCCCTAGCATGGTGCGATTTGGCGCCCCGGGCTAGACTGTGAGCACTGTGCGTTTATGTTTGTATTTAAGTTTCTGTTTATTTTTGCGTTTATTTGCATGATTTGGAGTTATTGTTTGCTTTCACGTTTGCGTTTATGTTTCTACTTGAATTTGCGTTTGTGTTTCTTTTTTTGTTTGCGTTTGTCTTTTTCTTATGTTTGGGTCTGCGTTTGTGGTTGGGTTTGTGTTTGGGTTTGTGTTATGCTTGCGTTTTTTTGTGTTTTGTTTTTTGGATAATTTTGGTATGGGTTCATTCGAAGAGTAATGTATCTCCAAAACCTGGACAATGCCGGGTATATGCTGATTAATAAACACTCCAAGGTTCAAATTCTTCCGACTTTTGAATCTAAGACAAAGTGGCTATACAGATGATGGAAGGAAATAAGGAATTTTTTTCAGCACTTTATTAATATTATAGAGTTGCATGCCTAAAAACAAATGCGTACCGAACGAAGACGAAAAATTGTGCGTTTAATGAAATCGATTTCAATGTCAGATTGCATTGTTACAGGAGCTTGACCCATGTGCAAATTGGTCGGTTAGAAGTGCTCGAAATTTTGCTCGCAAGTTGGTATCTATGACGGATGACATTTTTTCCTATTTAATGAGTTTATGAAAGCTTGTTTAAAACATTTTTGATTAACAAAATATCAGTCAGTGAACATTTTTAAGCTATTTTGATAGAGTTGCATTACTAAAAACAATTGCGCACTAAAGTAACACGTAAAATATGCGTATATAGCGCGGTAAATAGTACTTTGTAAAGAAAATATTAATTAATTATTTAAAAATTAATTAAGCTACAAGTTAAGACAAATGTAATGTCAGGTTGCATTAGCAACGGGTCATGACTCACGGGCCAAATTTCAGAGAAATTAGTCGGTTTAGAAGTGGTCGAAATTTTGATCCAAAAGACAAAGACAAATGACGGGTCATCAAGTCTTAGTTGAATAACAGCTTGTAAAAGATACAGATGTATCGAACTTCATAAGATGGTTAAGGAGACTGGGAGAGAAAGTTTAAAAAAGTGGGGACAGAGAAAAAAAAAGTGGGACAGGAAAAAAAAGTGGGGACAGAGAAAAAAAAGTGGGGACAGAGAAAAAAAGTGGGGACAGAAAAAAAAGTGGGGACAGAGAAAAAAAAGTGGGGACAGAGAAAAAAAGTGGGGACAGAGAAAAAAAAAGTGGGGACAGAGAAAAAAAGTGGTGACAGAAAAAAAAAGTGGGGAGAGAGAAAAAAAGTGGGGAGAGAGAAAAAAAAGTGGGGACAGAGAAAAAAGTGGGGAGAGAGAAAAAAAGTGGGGAGAGAGAAAAAAAAAGTGGGGACAGAGAAAAAAGTGGGGAGAGAGAAAAAAAAGTGGAGAGAGAGAAAAAAGTGGGGAGAGAGAAAAAAAAGTGGGGACAGAGAAAAAAGTGGGGAGAGAGAAAAAAAGTGGGGAGAGAAAAAAAAGTGGAGAGAGAGAAAAAAAAGTGGGGAGAGAGAAAAAAAAGTGGGGAGAGAGAAAAAAGTGGGGAGAGAGAAAAAAGTGGGGAGAGAGAAAAAAAGTGGGGACAGAGAAAAAAGTGGGGACAGAGAAAAAAAGTGGGGACAGAGAAAAAAGTGGGGAGAGAGAAAAAAAGTGGGGAGAGAGAAAAAAGTGGGGACAGAGAAAAAAGTGGGGAGAGAGAAAAAAAGTGAGTAGAGGGAGTAACAGATAGTTTTTAAAAAAGAGTGTTGTTGCTGAGCAAAACAAACTTCCGTCTGCTAAAACGTTGCGCCGTGTTCAGCACAGGGCCGCCTGCCACGAAAGTGAGGCAATGGTCAGCACAGGCCGCCTGCATTAAGGAGGCTGGTGTCCTGCCAGTGGGATTGAGGGCTTTTTCTACAAAGATGCCTGCCGGGCAGGTGGTGTTGGTTAAAACCGGCCCTGTTTAAAGGCTTTGCACACCTTCCTACCGGGACAGGGCGTTAGTAGTTAGTTTCCGTCCGCCTGACAGGGGCGCTGGTAACACAAGGCCGCACGCCTGGGAGGGGGCGCTGTTAACTCAAGGTCAATAACCTGTGAGTGTGCGCTGCTGAACTCGGAGCATCCTGTTTAGAAGGCGACGCTTGAAATAATGCTGCGAAATCTTTGCCATATTAAGTTTAGCGGACTTAAAGGAAACCCATTCTCTGCTTCCCGTGGCCTTGAGCAATCCGCCGCCAAAAAAAAAACCCTTCTCCGCGTCCGCGTCCAAGGAGAGATCGTCGCCTTTCAACGCACGATGAACAACATGCTTACCCGGACGTTCGCGTCCATTAGGAGAGCTCTTCCCACTCACGACTACGTCATCCCAGTTCTAAAAACGATGACGGAAGGAAATAATGAACTGAGCAAAAAAATGGGGGAGCCAGGAAACTTGCCGTCTTCGTTTTTATTATAGACTTGCTGCACACCAGTGCTTTGCCGCCGTGTGGAAATTTAAATAATACTTTAAGGGGCACAGAAAAGATAGGCACATTAAAAACATATTTTTTTTTCTTTCTCGTATACGAAGTATAGAGAATGTATTGTAATCGTGCAAAAAAATTGAAAGTAATTTTTTTTTTACCAATTCTCCCTGAGTCTGAAAAATTGTGTTTACCAATTTTGTCTATATGTCTCTGTGTCTATAAACAAAATAACTTGAGTACCGTTTCAAATATGTTGACGAAATTTCTTATATAGGTATTATATCACATTTTCAGTTTCTTTTTAACTATATCAACGATTTCTGGTAACCAGAAGAGGTACTTTCTATACTTCCGGTTTCTGAAAAGCCTATACCTTGCGTACCTTTTAAACGGGTAAACGAAATATCACAAATGAATATAAGATCGTATGCGTAGTGCTTCTTCGAGACATGATATTTTTGGGGACAGCGGACAACATTTTCCGGAGGGGTTGTTAAAAGTATAATATGTGTTCTCTATCAATTCCATTTGGTCCGGATGGAGGGGGGGGGGGGGGGGGGGGCAGTAGACTTTCTTCAGGGGGGGGGGGGCTGAAGAGATGCCTGGAAGATACTGCGTATGCGGATATTTCTGTCGAATTTTGAACGACATCCGGTAACCGAAATTTGTATTTTACCGTATTTTCTTTATTTTTGTGGGATCGACGTAAGTTGAGTACCTTTTCAGTTAAGAAGACAAAATTGACATATAATTATAAGATTTAATAGCTCAATCAATTTTTTTTTTAAGTGACCTCCGATAACTTAAATTGGTACTTTACTCTATTTCTGTTTTCTAAAAAACCCTATAACAAAAGTACCGTTTCCAATATTCTTAAACATTTGACCATGTTTTCTAAAACTGAGTTAATTAAATGTAAACAATGCCTGCTATATATCTCTTGGATATTATTTGTCCCGGCACGGATTTTATTTCAAGAAAAAATAAACCGGGACTGATCTCCCCTAAACTTTCTCGAATATTCTAATATAACACTACGGGGGATGGCAACTCGGGATATAGACTTCTAGACATGATTTTTAATCCATTTTAAATATTCACATTTTTTAAAAATCTATCTAATATATAAAGCTCAGTTCTGTATGTCGTTGACATACTTCTATGGATTTAAGTGTTAGAATATTTACCGTGGTCACAGTCTAAATTTATGAGTTAAAAAATTACTATTGAAAGTGTTGGGAAATAATTTTCATTTTTCAAACTGATAGTAATAATTGTCGGCATGTTCATTAAACACAATTTTTAAAAAATCACAAAAATTCTAATTATATCTGAAAATTATTTATATTGAGTCCTTTAGCACTTACTTCCCTTTGATAAATTAGGAAAACTCAATTACTTCCCGTTATAAAACATTGAATTAGTGGAAAAGAATTTACTTTTTATTACTTTGTTTTGGTGTTGGGAAAAAAATAATTACATAATTAGCGGGGATTGATCAAGTGCAAATGTTGAAGGTATTTTACGAATAAGCTTGGAGTATTATAATTGTTCATTTGGTTTGGTTTGACACCTACGTTCGTTTAAGTGAGTGCAAAAAGACTATGAATAAGTTGGGGTACTATAGTCGATTATTAAGCTGAAACAGGCGATTCTGCCCCGGGCTAGACTGTGAGCCCTTTGCGTTTATGTTCGCGTTAGTGTTTTCTTTGTGTTTAGGTTGGGTTTGCGTTAGTGGTTGCGTTTTGATTTGGTTCGTTTTTGCTCTTTCTTTTTTCGTTTTCGTTTGTGTTTTTTTCTTAAGGTTTGTGTTTGTATTTGTGTTTGTGGTTGGTTTTGCGTTTGGATTTGGTTTGTTTTCGTTTGCTTTTTTCGTTTGTGTTTTTTTCTTTGGGTTTGTGTTTGTGGTTGGTTTTGCGTTTGGATTTGGTTTATTTTCGTTTGCTTTTTCGTTTGTTTTTTTTCTTTTTGTTTGTATTGGTGTTTGTGGTTGTGGTTGGGTTTGTTGTTAGGTTTTTGTTTTCGTTTGTATTTGTAATTGTGTTAGCGTTATGTTTGCGTTTTGTTAATTAGGTTGGTTGTGGTTTGAGTGGGCAATGCCGGGTTTATGATGATTACTAAACACACAGGTAATGGTCTTCAACAGAAAGGTTTTTCACAAAAGCCAGAGCAGTGCCTGGCCGGGACGGCTATTAGAATATAATCTCGTAGAAAAAAGAAATGCACACCAAGTGAACGCTAAATAGAGATGTGCATAATAGTGCGCAA